ACGTGTACAAAAGCTAGTACAAAATAATGAAAAAAATACAGATATGCATTTTTTTGCCTTTGCCTATGAAAAAATTAGAGCACTATAGTGATGTGGTCAATGCTTTATATGAAATTCTGGCAACTTAATACCTAAAATATAACACAACGTCTTTTAGTCTTCTGTAGAGTAGATCTACTGCCACGATTTTCACTTATGAGTGAGACTTCAATTCCAGGTAAAATCTGCGGCGCTATACACCTCGTCAATATGTTAATTAACGACAGAATAATGGGTAACAATGAAATATTTCGGATTCTGTAGGCTACACGGTACAGAGCCTGACACCCACGCAGAAGATCACCTCACTCCTTTATAAAGCTCCCCTGTCCGGTCCGTAACCAGCCTTCTTCTTCTTTGTTGTGTCGTTCTTGGCAAGGCGGTTGTATTCACGTTGAGATGTCCACTTCGGTGGTAGAGGAGAAAACAGACCTTCCCTACCCCCCCCCCCTCCCTTCTTCCCTCCCTGTCTTACTTTCTCGAAAAACACATGTGAGTAAAATCATATATTTTTTATAAAAAGTTAACAACAAAAATATTCTGTCAGGTACCTGTTCACTTATTTGCCACCTACATTATTATGCCAATACCTCAACGTTAATTTCACCCACCCTGATTTATGAACACAAAATGATCACAATCAGTTAATTTAAAAGGCGGTTTTAAGTGAAACAACTTTTTAAACGATCAGCAGTATTATAAATTAGATGCAATCGTAGCGATTTCGATCGCGATAGGGTGGGAATGGGCAAAGTTTCGGGGTGACATTGTCAATACCTACCAGTTAGCAGTAGGGGGGTTGTAGATGGCCGCCATTCCACAGATAACTAGTTGTCCTTTGAAGTGCAGTTTGGATGTCGTGAAATGGAACGGAATCTTTAGTATTGTATTGAGAATGTAGTCACATGTTTGGGGAGGTAGTTGGTTTGACTGCTAGTCTTAAATTGTTTGTCCCAGGTAACTCTAAAGTGGGCAGTTTTATTAGTCCATCGGTATACAAGACATAAAATAAATACAAAAAGTTGTTATTAGTTAAAATTGTTTTATAAATACAAAAAGTATAAAGTTATTGTTGTATTTTTAAATTTGTAGAACAGATACAAAAAAAAATAAGCATAATTTTCCGATTGTCTATTGCATGAATTATTATGTTTTTGTATCATTGAACTCATTAAGTAATAATAATAATAATGTATTTATTGTTCACAAGTAAAGTTTACAAACATAAACTTAGTAACTTAAAAAAGTAAAATCCATACTTTCTTAGTTATATTTTAATGTGAAAGTGAGTTTGTTTGTTTGATTTTTTGTTTGGTTATTTGTTACGCTTTCATGCCTAAACCACTAAACCGATTTTTAAAATTATTTCACCAATGGAAAGCTACATTGTCAGCGAGTAACATAGGCGCGATAACTGACATACACGCGGGCGGAGCCGTGTGCAAAAGCTAGTGTATTATAACGTGAAAGTGAGTTTTTTTGTTTATTACGCTTTCACGCTTAAGCCACTAAACCGATTTCAAAAATTATTTCACCGATAGAAAGCTACATTATACAGCGAGTAACATTGGCTACTTTTTACCGCTGTAACAAACATACACGCAGCCAAAACCGCGGACAATAGCTGGTAGCTTATAATTTGACAGAGGGTTTGATTTTCTTTTTTGTCTATGATTAATCTTCTGTCACAATAACACATTATCTTACTTTATCTACTCTTTTGTAATATTAAACTCGTAGAACTTTAAGTATATACCTCATTAAATCGAAAAACTCATAAGATAAAGGCATCTGTGCGTTAAAAGCCTTCAGGTGCAAGGCATTGTGCCCTCGTCACCGATAAGTGGGTATGACGGCGTGACGCGTGACGGAAACACCGGAGTGACGCGTGAATGTGCCATCACTTATTGCCATGCAGACACGCAACCATTGTGTGGAAGAATGATTTCTGATAAAACTCTCTTATTATTATTTGGTATTTGCTCACTGGCAGACAATCCGGTCTGTGTTACTGATTTATCAACAATCAAACCTTATACAGTATCTTCTGTATACAGGCTGTTACAGATGTGTAGTCATATCTTAGAGTCATATAGTACACCCTGTAATCAGTTTCTTTCTTAATCAATATGAGTGTAGAATTGAAGATTATTATTATAATACTGTTAATTACGTAAAAAAAACCTATTTAAAAGTACCTCATCTAAGACCACAATGAAAAAAAAGTTCCATTTTTTTTAAATGTTTACCTTTAATTGAACTAAAAAAAATCCTCGATAAAGCCAACATTACAAAAGAATACCGGCATGAATAAAACTGATGAAGTCCAATTCTTTTAAATGTAATGTACGTAAATAATTATAAATCAAAACCATAATGAAAAACAGTAAAAAATAAAATTTATTTAGTCAAGCTAAACCCATTATTTGTCAGCTACACATAACTTTCCTAAAGCACGGTACTATTATAATACAGTATTGTAACTCGGCCGCATGATAGAAATAAATGCCTACAGCCGCGCGGTACTTAAACATGCGTTAGGGCTGCCCGTCTCCAGCATTTTAATTATATTTGCCTACTTTCTGTTTCTATTTAGATTTGTGATTGTAAATATCCTTTTTATATAAATAAATGAAATACTTTGTATATTGAATAGGAATTGTTCAATAAAAATGCGTGTTGTTTTTTGATTGGTAGATTTAATTAAAAAACATTTTTTTGTTTGAAAAACCAATCGGGCTTATAAATTAGCGACCGAAAAAAATCCTTCTATAAAATAAAATAAATGTGCTTTCTCCATACGCGTTACAAAACTCCAATCCTTAGAAACTCCAACACCTACCACCTACTCAACTAGAATGCAAGAAACAGCTGACGAGTAAGTAACTTTTTATCTCAGCTAATTAACGTCTCTATAAATTACCTAACCTATAACCTACAACTCGCAACAACTCAAAACAAAAATTCTTTGGTCACCAATTAATTAATTATTAAAAAGCTGAACAGCTGACTACGAATGTTTTAAAATCACAACCTAGCTCGAGCTGTTGTTGTTAATACCGAGAAAATAAAACCAGTTTTTAGTGGTATATGTTGTTATAGTAGCAGCAGAAACACTGTGAAAATTTCGAAAACTGTCTAATGACACACAGACGGTAACAATTTTTTTTTAGTATTATTCATACACACGGATAATAAAGATATATTATTAATAATAAAATACCACGTCTTTAAGTAGAATTTTCTTTTTTTTGAATTATGCAAAGTAACAAAACAAACATGCACCGAAGTTTTAACACAAGCGTAAGTAGGTAGGTACCTACCGTATCATGATTCATTCAGAACCGCATGTAACTCCCTATTTCACTCGTCTCAATAACTTTCCGTTCATCAATCATCAACAGCCTTTAATAGTCCACTGCTGGACATAGGCCTCTCCTTAGAAAGGAGGTTTTGGCCTACTATACCACGCTGGCCAGACGGGTTGGTATAGGGATTGTATCAAGTTTTCCTTCTTTTTGCAGTGCTGGTGTCCTGCATTGTTTTGCGCCCTTAGTCGCCTCTTACGATACCCACGGGATGAATTGGGGTAGTGACATTCCGTATTCTTAATCCGTCACTACACGGACAACTTTCCGTTACTCTATTTGATTTATTTATTCATCCAAACACCTTTTTTTTCGTGAGATAAAAGGAAATACTTATCCATTAAAAAGACACACATTATGTACCTACGTACTAGTAAGTAAAATTATTTTATAGTGTTACTTTTCAGAGTTTCCAGGTAATTTAAAAAAACTTATGTCTGGATGCGTTATTGACGAATTCATACAACCAAAAACAGCACAATATTTCCTACTCGTCATATTAACTGATTTTTAGAGAAAAAATCGCGCGGTTATTGTTAAAAAAACAACACGCAGTCCGTTCGACACTGCGGTACAGCCGTGACTGTCTGCGCCCCGAGCGCACCCCGAGATCGAGGCGCGTAGGTATAGCTCCCGTTTCGTCCGTTTGTATGAAGTTGCAGTACTGTATTATAATAGTACCGTGCCTAAAGTCTGCAACACCCTGTATAAATAAGCAAAGCACAGTATCATTCAGTGCATTACAGTTTTTCTTCTTCTCTGTTTATCAAAAAATTTAATATTGCCGACGGCGACGCTCTATCAATAATATGTAATGAAGTACACCCGAAATTCGACCTTAAAACCAACCAACATTATTCCGGCAACCAAAATTAAACGTAAATCTCTTTGAGTTCTGTATGTTGAAGCCTAAACTACCATATACCACCTATAAAGACAAATAAATACTTAAAGCATCAAAGTACTCCTAGCAATTTAATTATATAAACCAATCTATTAACAAATGCTACGTAAGTTATTCGTATTCCTCACTACTTATTGAAGATACGTAAACATGTTGCCTATCATTCTGATTTAGTCGTTTAATCTCTTCAAACGGCACCCAAGGCAGTGATATAGTATCATCTACACGGTGCCAAAATCTGTCGGTATAATTTTTCGTTCGTTAAAAGTAAATTGTCGGAAATGCAGACGTGACGGCTTGGATGCCTTCCAAAATTCGATCTAAACTATCTAGCTATGGTGAAAGCATACCCGTAAACTTGGTGGCAATGTTTCTATACTAACGTGTTCTACATTACAACGGGATGTATATTTTATACATACATTAGCAACTTTATAATTAAAAAGAAAATTAACGATGTCTTTTTTAAATAAGAAAAAACCTTAAATTCACAAAATGAAATCTCGTGATACGTCATTGTCATCCCCGTATCGAATCAATACTTTGTGAGTATTCTTCTTCCATCCGATTAAGAATACGGCATGTCACCACCCCTTTGCAACCCGTGGTTGTCGCAAGAGCCTACTAAAGCTTTGGTCTGGTGATCATGACGCACAACGCTGCGGTATGCGGTATGCGTTGCCGGACACTCAATCGTATGAAAAACGTCGAGAATGTTCTCTTGTTCCGTCGCAGTATGCGTCAGCGGCGAGGGGCAAGCGCGGTGAAGTGGGGAGGTGTACTGCCGCACAGCGCGGCGTCATTCTCGGTTCAACGCTGCGGTGTGCGGTGTGCGTCACTGAGTCAATATGGAATTTTTCGAAGACAATTTAATAGAATTAGTTCGCAACTATCCTTCTTTATATAAAATAAAGACAAAAAACATAAAAATTTGATAGTTTTTATTAAGGTTTCGTAACAACCTTCACTCCTCCGTTGTAAAAACATGTTCCTCGGAGATTTTCTTTGTCTATTCAGAAGCAGTAAAAATTCTTCTTCTTCCTCCTCTTCAAGCAAAGCACAAATTACAGAAAAATTGTTCATGTTCACGTCTACCTTGGTAGCTGCGGCAAAATCAACTGACCACCTCTCCGCAGCGACGCTAAATGCTGCGTCGTGACGCTGCGTTGCGCCGCATACCGCAGCGTTGTGCGTCATGATCACCAGACCAAAGCTTTAGGCAGCAAATTACGCAGGACATCAGCACTGCAGAGAGAAGGAAAACTTGGAACAAACTCTATACAAACCGTCTGGCCAGCGTGGTACAGTAGGCCAAAACCTCTAGACCTACGAGTATGTCCAACAGTGGGCTATATAAGGCTGATTGATGATGATGCTTCGTCAGAGTTGAATATTCAACTCGTTTCCTTTGATTTGCTAGATACGATAATTACTTATAAACTAAATAATTAACTATATTAGAGATTTTTTTATTTAAATACATTTTTTCTATAAGTTTCAATTAAGTTGTGCAGAATTTAAATGTAGCTTTGCTCCGTTGTTTCGAATACAGTAACGTCCTTTTGCTGATCAATTTTTTTTAGATAAATGGTAGCCTATGTTAGGACAAGGGTACTATTTATCCAGACTAAAATCTATCTCTGTACAACATTTCATCCAATTGAATTCAGTAGTTCTGACCTGAATGAGTAATAAACATCCATACATCGATCTAAACTTTCTAATTTACAATACTGGTACAGATTCAATCGTCTCTAAATTCCAATCATTCCTCGACCCTCTAAAACGAAACCGCCAAACTACCCACAAAAAGACATCTTAGTCAAAACAAATACCCTAACCGATTTAAAAACACATAGCGTTGGTCCAAGCCCGTAGTGAATATAAACCGTCTTAAATGAGTGGAATAAGGTTTCCGGATGTGTTGAGGACATCATTAAATATACATTTTGGGGTATTAAGGGGTCGCGCGCATCTCACTCTTGAATATGTATGAGCAATGGTTAGAGGTGGTATTCCGTCTGGTAGAATTTATTTGTTGACGAGGGACCGAAGACCGATTCCAGTTTGTGTTTATGTTAAACCTCCCTATGGTTCATTCTAATATTATGCAGTAACAATATTTCTGATACGATTCAATGTTGATTCTATTAAACAACTGTCTTTTTTATGTCATAAACGAGCAGATGGGTCACCTGACGGTAGACTACCGCCGCCTATAGACAGTAAAGGCAAGAGTCACAATTGCGTTGTACCCTTTTATGCCAGGTGGGCTCCATTATCCTTACTCAATCGGTGAAAAGCAACGAAAGAACTGCTCAACACGGGTTTTCTGTAAGGCCGTGTATCACTCCAGTCGAGCCGGCCCATTTGTGCCAAATCATCTCTCCCACGCCTATCTTTGTGAATTATATAATGTCAATGTCAATGTCAATGAATGTCTATTTATCTCTCATTGACATCTGTCAATGAGAGATAAATATATATCTATGTTGTACATACGAGTATATACACAATGTATGTTTATTTTATATATAGTTTTATTTTCAATGTATTTCAACCCAAACTCAACTCTCGTTTAAACGGGGCAAACTATGTACATAGATACGAGTACCTATATACAGAGGTGTCTTTAACGGTAACGGTAATAGTGTCGCGTGTTCAACGGTTTTTTTCTCATCTCAAAAAATATGTTTTTCTTTGTTGTTCAAAAATGCCCAACGCGGCTAAAGAATTTTTTAATTGAAAAAATGACTGCAAGGATGGCGTAGTGGTTTAAGCGGTCACCACGCCGCTTCCAACTACGCCGAGTGTTGTGGGTTCAAACTCCACATGGGACGACACTTTGTGTGATCCACTAATTGTTGTTCTGAGTCTGGGTGTTCTTTGTGTCCGTTTCATGTATGTTTGTAAAGTCACCCGACATAGGATATATTCCTAATGTATACCTAAGTATAATAAAAAAAAAAGAAAAAGAATGAATTAGAATTAAAGGGTAAGCTCGGCTGTATTGTGAGTGTGCTCGGACTCCCGCAAATTACTTGTAGTCTATTTGTCTATTGTCATCTAGTTTAAGTGAGAAGGCTCCTTTTAAAGTGAACATAGTGGATTTTTACGAACATTACACAATGTACCTATGTACGTGTTTTATATTTTGTCTTTGTCTGTGTATAATATGTGTGTAATATTGCAAAAAACTTTTATAGTAATTTTTTCGGCTGTCAGTTTTTTTTTATGTTAGAGGAGGTAGACGAGTCACCTGATGAAAAGTGACCATCGGCGCCCATGAACGTCTGCAACTCAGTGCATTCTAAAACTAAATATATTTATTCTTAAAATAAATGTCCTTTTCCTATTTTTCATTCTATTCTTATATTTCAATTATTGGCAAATTTCCCATCGTATCCCAAAAGAAACGTGTTCATTAATTACGTAAGTACGACTAACGAAATTATAGTGAGGAAGGCCCACATTTTACCAGCTATAGGACTCTAGGTACTGACGAAAAAAGAACGTGAACTATGTACGAGTATTACAAATAATGTATTACAAATAATGAAATAGAACATTCAATCCCAATTTCCACTTCAACTTTTGATTAATGGCTTTGTTTTTTAATCAAGAAATTTGGAATAACAATTACTTAAACCTATCCAATAAAGTTAAGCACAAGGTTAACAAAGACATTACGTAAAACTAAAAAAATGTTTAATTCAAACTCCACGTTTCCATTCGATGTTTTTTTTAAAGATACAAGGATATCCGTATCCCTAGACGGAGATACGTATAAAAATTATGGGCCATCAAAATTTTGTGGACGACCAAACTTTTCTTTTATTGTTTAATCCCGAACACAAATACAAGTTGGTCAATGCGGGCGATCAGGGAACTTCACTTATTATTGTATAGTCTTACCTAACTTGGGTAACTTAGTAGATTTCTCTTTATTTCTTATTTCTTTGCTTTTAATGTTCCACTTTTGGGTGCCGTATTTTACTTCTTAACACGCATTTATTAGCTCGGTATGTATGTAACTATATAATGGAATCTTCGATCTTTCGTCGTTAATCGCAAAAAAAACGCGTGGAATTTGAAAAACTACCTGGCAAGCAGCTACTTGGTAATAAAATATGTATTATGAAAATCAGTCCAGCCGTTTTGACGATTACCCGGAACAAACAGACAGACAGACAAAAAATATTAAAACTAGTTTTTAGGCATAGGTATCGTGCAAATAATCGTACCTATAAATAAAAGAAACCCAATATTTTAACATTATAAACAGACACTTCAATTTTAGTTATATGTAAAGATTTGCAATGAGTTTGTTTGTTTGTTACGCTTTCACGCCTAAACCACTAAACCGATTTTAAAAATTCTTCAAAAATGGAAAGCTATATTTTCAGCGAGTAACATAGGCTACTTTTTACAGCGATAAAATCATTCATTATTGTATCTGATATCTTTTTTAAAATAAATCCAATATAAAAAGGACATAATAAATATATATCATCAACAAGCGCTAAGTTATTAAAAAACTTTGTATGAAGGAAACTACCTCCTTAAAAAACCTCTTTAAAAAAATCGAAGTCGTTAATTTTAATCCAATCCTTTTGCAGTCCATGTCGTCTAATCTAACGTATATAATTGTTAGTAATGAATGCGCATAGGCAAGCCATTTTAAACATCATTTGTGTTACAATGAATTCAATTAGCAAAGTAAACAGAGGGCTTCTGTAGCGCTCCCTTTATGTTCCTCTGAAATTTTGTTTACAGACGACAGGGACCCAGCGGAGATTAAAATATGTCTGTCTGTCGCAAAAACGGGGCCTGCGTCAGTTTAGTTACCACCTACTGTATGTAAGGTTTGAATAAAGTTGTGAAGGTTATTTGTACAACGAGACACAGGGTTTCAATTGTTTTGGTTTAACGTTTTTTTCTGACAACGGTTCTTGTATGTGATTCGACGTGGTGAGTTCATTCAGACATGTATTAGTTTTATATATATGTAGTTTCAGTAATATGAAATGTAACCCTTCAACAGCACCAAGACTGCAAAAATTGCGTATCATCATCATCATCATCAGCCTATCGCAGTCCACAGCTGGACATAGGCCTCTACCTTTGCACGCCACTTATATCGATTTTGGGCTTCTCGCATCCAGCTCCTGCCAGCCATCTTGCGCAAATCGTCGCTCCACCTGGCCTGTCCTACACTACGTTTGCCGAGACGCGGTCTCCACTCAAGAACTCGTTTTCCCCAACGGTTGGCGGTTCTGCCGCTAATATGGCCAGCCCACTGACACTTCAGCTTGCTGATCCGGTAGGCTATGTCGGTGAGGTTGGTTCTCTGCCGGATCACCTCATTCCTGATGCGATCCCTAAGAGAAACGCCGAGCATAGCCCTTTCCATAGCACGTTGAGCGAATTTGAACTTGAAATTGCGTATGATTATGGCGAACTTTGTTAACGTGGGAGAGCCATGCTTCGGCACGAATGGGCCGGCTCGACCGGAGTGATACCACGGCCTCACAGAAAACCGGTGTTAAGCAATTCTTTCGTTGCCTTTCACTGAGTGAGTGAGGTTACCGGAGCCGAAATCCCCCCTCCCGCTGACTCGAACGGGAGGGACTCCAAGGGTGGTAACGCACTTGTGAGTTTTGAGTTGCAGGTGTCCATGGGTGGCGGTGGTTGCTTACCATCAGGTGACCCGTCTGCTCGTTTGCTCCCTCATACCATAAAACAATAAAAATAAGTCTTTAAATACGCTCCTTTACAGGCACGCATATGCACTTGCCTATCTCCTGATATGGTAACATATTTTTTTTTATATTAGATTACGTAAAAGTAGGTTAGGTACGTAAAGAGTTGTAATCGGGCGATTGGCCAAACATTTTTACACGGATGTTTGAGGTAACAATACCCTTTCAGAACGCAACATACGCACCGCTATGTTCTTAATAGTATCTTAGATGGAAAAGTATCAATTTCGGATGGAGCTCGTTAATCATGGTAGTTGATACGAGGAAAACTGTTCGTTATCAATCAAACGGACGGCCTTCGACCTATCTGTCGATTAATTGTGATAACGAAAGAAACTCCTAAGAGATATATTATGTAACGATGCCCATTGCGATAGCAAAAACCAATATCATTTTTATCACTTTGCTTCTATCCCTGTCTAAAGAAAACAGATA